TCTTCGGTTCATCGTTTCACTTTTTCTTCTCCCTTTTCCCCCCTTCGAACTGAAGAATCGCCGTCTCCTTTCTTCCGCGCGCGAGTTTGGAACAGTTGGATATGCCCCCAGGTTTTTTTGGAAGTTTTAATCCTGCGCTATCTCCGGCGCAGATTCGACTTCCTTTTTTGCTCGTGGAGGTATAAAAAATGCCACGCTGTCGTGGAGCGGATATCAACATCCCCGAGATAACCTCCCGAGGGAGCGCAGCTGAGTCCCATGGATGCCTCAGTCCAGGGTTTTTCAAACGGCGGATCGCGATCCTTCAATGGGTTGCAAAGTAAATAAAATGGGTCGTGCCGGGCAAGAGAGAATGCAGAAAATGTTTGGAGTGTGGCTTGTAGCGCTCATAAAATGAAACTTTCCTCAAAGCGTGTTGACTGTGATTATGATTTCGTTTTTGCGTTTTCTTAACGTAGCTGTGTTTCAGTAGAAACGAGTACGTTAAGTAATGAAATATCTGCCAGCTACTGTAGACGCGCAGCAGCGGCTGAACAGTGATTAAATGAACGCAATAATTGATATAAAGTCTTCGTTTTATCATATTTACACTGGGTCACGATACAAAACGCGGTTCCCGCAGTCGGTCACGGTGAAACGGTTTGAAAACCGCTGCTGTAACCCTCCCGCCGCTCGTTCCCCAAAAAAAGATGAGTTCGTCAGTCACGCGTTCCCGCGATACTCTAGATATTCTCGCAGACACTGCGTACCAAGGAACGCGGATCGATCGAATAGCAGAGAGGCCCGCGTTCATTTCGTTTCGGCCCGCGAGGGACTGATTCTCCGGCGAATCTCGATAGAAATGATTTTCCACGAAAATATTGACGCACCCGTCTCACGCTCGTCACGCTACGAATGCGTCAAAGCACACCCGTACCATGGGCGGCCTTTTTATCCTGCTCCCGGAGTGCACGCACGTACCGTGATGGCACGTGGATTATGAATTAGTTTTCATAATTGTAGCGCATGTGGTATCGCCTCAACTTTCCCACAGTGTTTCGAGCATCCACTAAATATTCTTGGTGCAACATCTCACGCGATATTCGCAACTGGATCGCAGCGAGGACTACGAAGCGAAAATGTTTTGAAGCCTGACAAATACTTAACCTATGTTTCGGAATCGCAACGTAGGACTCTAGCCTTCGATTTTCCGGTCCCTCGATCTCCCTGTCGATACGATGTCGAAGATTCCACGGATCTCGATCGCATACGCGACTTCTAACGCGAATCGATTGTTTACAAGTGACGACGACGAATGTGGGAGATTCGATTTTTGGAACGCGATACATCGTATTCCCGGAATTCGAGCGCGACATTCCATCGAATTGACGCGTGTATGACAAGAGTGAACGCGACGTCGCTGCACGATTTTCGCGCGTAAAAAATGTACTTCTTTTCGTGGTTTCATTCGTTCGCCGCGAGGCCACACCGATACCGTTGAGGAGCTGAACATCCTCCGGTTTCACTACCGAAACGCATGAACAACGAAAACGTTATAGTACAATCAGTGTAATAAGATCTTACCTAATGTTTCCTGGCGTCGTGGCCCACACCCTTTTCAAGAATTAGACACCAACTGTCACTCGTGACGCCCACGGCTGCACACAGGTACTCGCCGCGACACACCGCTTCACGACACCCGCCCGCTCTTACTCTTATTTATTTCGAGAACGCGAAAAGTACAAAGGAGCGAGTCGTCAGAAACGTACACTGACTGTGATCACTGCACGAATGCCCCGAGTACGTCATGTCCTGAGAAGCTAGCGCCGCAGTGCGAACTGCCGTACGTCGTCTCTTGGTTAGGAAACACTGGCTGTATCTAGGGTTTTTTGTCCCACCCGACCAGCCGCAGTCCAGCCAGTAAACAGTAATTTTTTGTTTACGTTCGAACCTTTCCTTTCCGTAAAATCGACGCGACGTGTGTACAGTGATTGGTTTTTATCTTAGTGAACTTATTTCGCATTATAAATTTTTAATAATTTTGGTATGTTTTACGGAAACACCCTTGCATGAAAATTATATGGATACTTGTAAAGTCGAACCAAAGGCAAACAGATCAGACTTACCGATCAGAGCTGGGTAAAATTTGACCAGGATTGTGTAAAAAATTCGTTTAAATCCGCGTTTCTCAAAGTGATTGTTAATAAATCAATGTACAAAACTTGTATCGTTTCTATGATTTCATTTGTTATGGATTGTTTTCATTGCAGTGTATGAGAGTTAGGTTTGAAATAACCTGTACACTGTGTATCATTTAAAGGACATATTTTACTCAGTTCTGTTATTGGATCATGTTAGTGAAACAGCATTTTAAGATATAATATTTCGCAAATAGCATAATGGCAGATGATATGAATGAGGAAGCTAAAGATGAAAAGTCCAAGGAAACTAAAGAACGTTCAAAAATAACAGCTGCTGAGGAACGTTCAGAGTATTTTAAAAAATTAGAAAAATGGTTACACGAAGCGTATGCTTGGCAAAGCATGGCTGCAATGTTTCCATACTACCTGATGTCTCGTCAAATATTGAATCCATCATCAGGTAGGATTATCATATATTTATATATCTTTATGTTTCAGCTATGTGTAAATACGTTATCTTTTGCTAACATAACAAAATTATTCTATAAAATAGAATAATTACAGATGTATCACCATTTTCATCTGCAACAACACATGCAGCAGGTACACAGAGATTAATACTTGGCACAAATGGTCAACAGAATGATCCACTTAGGCAAAGAAGAGGTCAAGAGCCAATGGGACCTTTATTTCAACCTCCTGGAGCTGAAGGTAGAAGGTCATAACGATAACTCCTGAGTTCATCACATTCCAAGAGAGGTTCAGCTAGTACTATATGAGCTTTTGATACAAAAATATTGCATTTCACATCTTCCTTGTATACTATTGAACTTTATATATCCTTGGACAAAAATTAACTTTTTGGTCTCATAAATGCAGTGTTTTTGATCTATACATCTTCATCATAATCATATGGCACAAAGTTACTTGTATTTATTGAAATCTTAGGATATCATTATTTCAGGCTTTGAATATCGTATACCACCGATATGGAAACGATTTGCTGCTGAATTTATAGATTTGACCATGTTATTTCTGTTGAAGTTTTCTATTGCTTTCGTTGCCATTGATGTTTTTGATTTCATGTATGTAAAATCAACACGTCAGAATGATGTAACATCTGTAAATAATAATTATCTGTACGTGTATTCTATTTTTTATAGAGATATAGATGATTTGAGGATGAATTTGAGAATCGATTATAAAATGGCTTTAGAAATGACGTATGGAGTGTTAGTGTTGGAAATGATTCACTGTGCGATAGTGTGCATTTTTGAGGTAAGCATTGATACTGAAAGTAACACAAATATTATTTTTATCAAATATTACTATTTAGGCATTCTGGCTGCAACATGGTGTAAATGGTCGTGTTGGCGGAGCAACGCCTGGAAAATCTATGATGGGATTGCGGGTTGTACAGTGCCGCAACGTTACAGTTGTCGAAAGACCTGATGATCCGGATGTTGTACTCGTTTCACCCGGAACAGATTTAGGTTTACCTCTCGCGCTTGGAAGATCAGTGGCAAAGAACTTAATCTTCGCGTTCTTATTTCCAATATGCTTTGCGTTATTCTTTTTGAGATTTAACAGAGCTTTCCACGATTTACTCTGCAACTCTATCGTGGTTGAAGATCCGTACAGAAACTTGAATAACAATAGATTGCCTCAACAATGAATACATATTCCATTAGAGAAACAAAATGTCTCTAATTTGCATATGCGTATGTGGGAAAATGTAATATGTATATATATGTATAAATTAAACATAACGACGTTGCGAAGTATTTTTCTAAAGTTTAGGACGGTTTCTATGCATACCACTGTAAAGTATAAAGTAAAAGACTATGTAATATCTGCATAATAAACGTGTACAAGTTATTTAAGAAGGGAAACTTAATTAAATTAAAGTCTGCACAACTTGTACAGATTATAACTATTGTAGTTATTAATAAAACATTTTATAATTGATCTTTGAGTTACCGATTTATTCTCGCAGAATTTTATTGTCTACCCTTTAATAAGCATGCTTGTGTGTCACTTTTGCGTTACGGAATACTTTTATTTTAGTTCGCCGCACTTCACATATAATTACTTCATTGTTTTATGCTTTTAGATGATATTTGAATGATTTTAAATATATCTGCGCGTTTCAAATTTCATACAGATTTATTTTACAAGTTCGGCACGCCATCTGAAAGAGGATGGCTAGAAACTGACAAGACTAGTACCTAACCAATGACGTCACTTCCCAGTTAAACGTGGCTGCCTCACGACAGAAGGAAGGAGTGGCTTTGCGATCTGTCAAGTTAAATGAATTCTCGTGAAAATTGATGACTTGTCGCATTGATTAAGTTGTTTCTGTGTGCTTAATATTGATAATTCATCGTGCAGTAGTTCTGATATACAAAGAAAATGTCGTCTTCGGGTGATTTTGGAAACCCGTTACGTAAATTTAAGCTTGTCTTTCTCGGCGAACAGAGCGGTAAGTATTTTCTGTACATACTTCCGTTGATTTTCGATCAATATTGCCGATGTATCTATACATTTCACCTTATTAACGATTTCTTGTCTGTTTCGGATAAGAATTTTATTCGAATTCTGATGGCCGTTCTAGGTTATAGATCAATATTTCTGCTCGCTTTGCAACATAATCGTTGCGATCGAATTCGGCGTCGTTCTTGTTGTCACCGTCTCAATGTAGCCTTTAATTTTAACGTTATCGTTAATACTGTACGTACTTCGCATTAGAAATTATCATTCCTTGCCTATAATGATGGAAATATTCATTTATCGTCGAAATTTTTCATTTATACGTTTAGCTTTGATTGCTATCCGGTATATTTGTTTCCTTTTAAATGATTACGGGTCAAGTCCGATTATCAGCATTTTTATTACAGTTATAATGCTGCGTCTACAAATACTAGATTATATTTGATTGTACTTGCTAAGATAATATTTGAACTAATAACGATTTGAAGAGATATTCAATAATTTTATTTATATTTTATTATAAAAAATTATTGTACGAATTTGAAATCTATGTATTGATAAACTTTGATACTCTTGATTTTATTATTTGATATTTAATTTAAATACCAAAAATTAACTTCTTAAATTGATCGTATAATTTGATGTTACAGTTGGAAAAACATCTCTTATCACACGGTTCATGTATGACAGCTTTGACAACACGTATCAGGTATGTACTTAACAATTTCCTGATGTATATGTATGCTTGTATATCACTTTAAATAATATCACCAATGCTTGTACATCTGTTTATACAATAATTCTATTGTCAAAAGCATAATTTTATGATCTCGTATATATATTATATATGTAAACATGAAATAATTTATTAAAATTTGCTCTGCTGTAAAAATTTGAATACCAGAACTTATACACTTTGTCATACATCCCACACGTAAAACTTGTGAGATCATTTATATTCTAGTGGCACACTTTCCAATGACCTTATGGGGATATAATAATCTTATAATTCTATCATGCTTTCTACTCTAGTTAATCGATTCTTCATATGATTTTAAAATAAGAAACAGAATATCTTCATTCTTTAAAGTGGTCAATATTACATGTCAGGGGCAAATGCTAGTAGGAGAGACAGTACAAAGACAAGATATTGACTTTTTCTAATAGACAGATTCAAAGAAACGAAACACAAAATATATTTTAACATTATATTATTATATATTTATTTTATGCATTTGTTATATTTATATGAATATTTACTATACACTTATTCATAATTTCACTATATTTCATGGAAATAAATTTTTTATTTTTCTTATTTAAATATATATCAAGGATGTTGAAAAAGGGTTATCATTAACACTAAACATACCAACACTTTATATATACCTATTCTTACCGTAACCAGTTAAATAACTGGTTATAAAATGAAGGTAAACAAATTAAACGATAAATTTTTCTAAGTGAAAATAGAAACAGAAGGAAAAATATAAATTAAACAATTGATTGACTGGACAATATAAAAACTGATATGAAGTTACATGGACAAAAAAAAAATGCAGAATTTTTAATGAAATTTGAGAACTGGTCATTTGACCACTCTCTGTACATTTAGTGTTAAAAGTGTTACAAGTACAGTACGGAAACCCATATAGGCACATCACTTTTTCTAACATAATACTAAGAATTGAATTAAGTGCATGTACATGTATCGTACATGTATTGGTAAGTAAGGTTTTATAAATGTTATAGTAAGGAAATATAATATTTGTTACAGGCTACAATAGGTATAGATTTTTTAAGCAAAACTATGTATCTTGAGGATAGAACTGTAAGATTACAGCTGTGGGACACAGCAGGCCAAGAACGGTTTAGATCTTTGATACCAAGTTATATTAGAGATTCTACAGTTGCAGTTGTCGTATATGATATTACCAGTAAGTGTAGTTTATAGGAAGACTGATCCTGTTGATTAGTCTAACCTTGTTATACCAGCTGAACTGAATTATTTATACAGATGCAAACTCATTTCACCAAACGTCAAAGTGGATTGATGATGTTAGGGCTGAGAGGGGAAGTGATGTAATTATTATGCTAGTGGGTAATAAGACAGACTTGAGTGATAAAAGGCAAGTTCCAACAGAAGAAGGAGAACGAAAAGCTAAAGAATTGAATGTGATGTTTACTGAAACTAGTGCTAAAGCTGGATATAATGTAAAACAGGTATGTTTCATAATACCTGTCAAAACTTTTATCTTATCAACTAGTATTTCAAAGTGCCGACTACATTTTCTTTATGTTTTAGCTGTTTAGAAGAGTAGCAGCGGCTCTACCAGGCATGGACTCCACTGAAAATAAGCCTCCTGAAGACAGTATCCTTTCTGTAAGATATGTAATGTACACACTTGCATGATACATACATAATCGTATTTCAGGTATTTTTCTTTCTAAGAGTATACTGGTAAGAAGCATATCCTAGGCCCTCAATACATATAGCGGTTGTGTTTGTTACACAATTAATTATATATTTTACAGGAATCATATTAATTAAGTTACAAAATATTTCTTAAACCTTAAATTCATCATTTTAAAATCTTTCATCACTATTGCCCATCTTTTAAACATCATTTCGAATATATTATTTTTTAATATTTATTATTTAATATTATTGACAATTTACTTTTTTTCCGTTCTCTTTTTGTGTTTTCCTTAATATGTTGCTAAACCTGTAGTGCAAGAAGTAGTTCTCAAGGACACACCAATTGAACTGAAAGCAACGGAGAGCAGTTGTGCATGTTAAACCACCGATCAGCTTAACGGTAGACAAAACACTTCTTTAAGTTAATTTAATAAATTAAACTCTCGACGCTAGGACGGTGACATATTCAGCCAGTGTTCTTTTCACAGTTTAAAGTGTGGAAAGCAATAGCACAGTACTGAATAGGTATAATTCTGTATTCATGAAAATATAAATATCACACGGTAGCTTAAGCAGACTGCTTTTACACAATAACGTGTTTCGTGTGTATCAGTACATCAACGCATCAACATAATCCAATTTATTTAAAACCTCGAATTCTCCATCAATGCTGCTTGCTCTGTTTTTAACGTGTCAATGGTTGATAATTATCGTACATAGATGACGTATCGAGTATTTTTTAATTCCGAGAAATAAATTTTTTTTAACAAATATTTTGTTTAGCGCGTGTACTTATCGTAATTTTAACTTTAAGTGATGGAATTTCATATGTTTTGCATTCTGGAAAAAAATGAATTTTTTTAACGAAATACTAGTCGTGTGCATGATCGGTGTAGCAGTTGCATGATACAGTATACTTATATATATATATATATATGTATGTAGAGTTATGTATATATAAGTTGCTAGCCGAATCCACTGATCGGTGAGACCATAAAATTACGTGTTGCGTAAATGCAGTCAAGGAGATAGTCAACAACAGTCCATTGATTTAAAGTGATTGCAACTATCAGCAATAAGAGTCTTTTACATTTACGAATCCAATCTATTTCAATTGATAGTGATGTGCTAAAGATGGAACCTTGTACACAGAATGTACCTGCGTGCGTATCGCGGACTATTACGAAGAGAAAAAAAATATTGAAAAAGAAAAAGAAATGAATTGCAACGACTTAAAAAACTAGCTGCTAATGTTATCTCATTTTTTACGAATATTTTAAGAAAATATTGCTCACGTATGGGGTTGTTCCAAGTACTGGAATAACCTCTGCATAAAATAACATATTGCATTTCCTGTTCGAGTATTATTTATACATTTTGAACTGAATTAGACTCATTTAGAAGGAAGGAAGAAAAACGTATAGATAGTGAAATTAAGCAAAAAGATTCTCACAAATTCGAATTTGTACATATTAACTTAAAATTGGGATATGGATAGACAGAATGCTATTATACCTAATATTATGACATTTTTGTTAATAATTATTGTAATATTTTAATTTATATAAAAAACCTCGAATAGCATTATTTTTTATGTTAATTTCTTAAAGTCCACAATTTTTCTTGCCATTTTTCCTTGTATATGTATATATATACATTATATATATACATATACGCACATATATTTCCTGATTTCAAAATTGCTATGAGACTTATTTTTATTCGTGTTTGTACGATACTTTTTAAGTAGAATTAATACGCATACAACACATTGTATGGCATTGTAAAAATTGTGACAAAACAGCACTCGATGTATAATTTTAATTAAGGTGCTTCGTGGCTGTAAAACTTCTCACTATTATTAATATTAGGGAATGCTCCGTCCCGTTTTTGAACTGTTTAAATTTTATACGCTTTTCAATTACAGCTATTCTAGCTTCTAAAACGAACATAAAAAATTCTACAATTAACATTTAAGAACTGCAATGTTTCTAATCGTATACTTCAATTGTGTGGTGTCAAATCTATTTACGTTGCCTGAACGCAAGGAATAATTCAAATGCCACGGTATCGATTCTATGGCCTAAAAGTATTCATTGCATCACATACTTGTAAACATTGTCAAATTTGCATTGCTATATCGTCGCGAATACCGAGAACTAATTTATTCTATGAGAAACAGAGGGAGTGTTAAACGCGGTGTTCGATGTATCACGTGAATAATATACGAGATGTAAGAAAAACGCGATCTCGAGAAAGAAAAGAAAGGAAAAGAAAATATCAAAGATATTGAATTTATTGTCGCATTTACACTGTGATAACACCTTAACACACGAAAGCAGCTGTCGACTTGCAGAACCAATCACCGATGCAGAACGGCTCCGAGTCCGAAGGGGAGAGTGGCTGCATTTGCTAGGGAGTTGGTGGTTTATCACTGTGCAGCTAATAAATGCTAGCTCCTTTGAGACAATTCAGACACGAGAGAGAACCAAACGATTCATCCACATACTATTAACAAGATGCTGGCTTCTTCTGATGTCGACCATCGTGGCCCGTGTATGTTTGCGCGCGAGGAAGGCACAACAGAAAACAATGTTTTTTCATTAAACACCGTTCTTATCGACTACTTCTGCCGTAATCATTTAAGTCGTTACTAGCGGGATTCGTTGCTATTCCATGTTAATCCAGGGAGAGGCTTCGTGCGGTTATAGCGCGCGCGCGTTACGTTGTTGCACGTTGAAACAGGAACGTTTGCGATCTCGCGCCGCGTCGCGAACCGGAAATCGGCGTCGACCTGCGGATCGACCGATTACATCAATGTAAATGCCTACGTCTTAAGAGCACGATGATAGGGCGGCCCCCTTTTTGTAATACACCAGGCGATCGAAGCAATACGCAGCAAACCAGCTTTCTACGACTCCGTACATATCACGATTTCTCGATGTTATCCTTCTTTTTACTTTTCACCTGTCCCTCTGAGTATCTCTTATTTTTCGAACACTCGATCGGAAGTCGACCCCTAACTGTCAGCCAATTCTCTAGCTCATCTTTACCGTCGTTGTTTCCTTTTCCGAATCGCGGCTTCGACCGCGGAATCTACCAATTGCAACACGCACAAAACACCGAGAAGCTTGAAACGAGTCTTAGACATACCACACGTACACACACGAGATCACGAGAAAACGACTGAAAGTAAAACGAATATATTAGCCCATCATTACTCTGGTAGTAGTTTCGAAGAATCAAACGATCGAGCGACCGCAAAAGTCCCGTCGCGTAATGAAAAGTGGGAAATTGTAATTCGTAGAGCGCGTTTATTGGCGAGCCTTGTTTGGCGGTGAATTGTTCGAGATTTATAATGTAATCGTAATTACAATCTTTATAGACGTTTTTTCGATATTTCTTGGTAATAAGCGAGAACGACTCTTGTTACGCGATCCGTTCATAAATTGAGGAAGAAAAGACGCGCGGTTTCGACGAGAAAACGAAGAAGAGGACGAAAAAGAAGAAGAGAAAAAAAACGAAACAACAATACAAAGAATAGAAACGACGATTTCGCATTGGAAAGTGCTCAAATTGCTTCTCACTCGCCATTTTGTACGAATCGTTTCGACGAGTCCGTATTGTGCGTTTGTATTGATTTTTTAAACTATAATTCAGGGATACTTCGGCGATGCAATGATTCTTGCGAGCGGCGTCGTCCGCTGTCCGAAAGCGTTGTTCGTTTCAACGAAATCGCTAAGCAATATTGTGTTCTCCACGGCTGAGGGTGGGCACGCGGTGAATGCGTGATTAGCGCTTACTAATTAAGCGGGAAAAGATCGACGAACGAAAAAAAAACAAACAAACAAAGAAAGCATTGTAGAAAATCGTTGCGAGGACGCGCGCGCGTCAATTCATGAACGTGTCTCGTGCGACGCTCCGCGACGAGCGTCGAGCGACGAAACACCGGTCTTGTGTTTCATCGAGGAGACTGAACGCTTCTAGTACGCCAATATGTAATTAATTAAACGAAATTGAGGTAACTCGAGCGATCTGTAAGACCTGTACT